ACAAGGAATGATTTCTATAGCTCCCCAGCAAGTCTTGGTTGTCTTTGGGAAACAAGGTGAACACAGATAATCGGTCCTTAGGTAGGCTTTCAGGAACTGATGGCTTAGTGTTGATTCCCGACCAGAACATCCAGTCTGGTTACTGTTGACACCCTTGGCCTTTCTAGACAAATGCATTAAGATGCTTATTTCATCTTCTGAACAATGTCATGCACAAGCATCATTTGATGAATGGTTTTGCCATGATCGACTTTGAGGCCTATAGCATATGGCATGCAGGTAAATTAAATGTATTTTTTTTTCAGGTTACACTGCCAATTAATATAATTGTTAGACAAAAAGGAATTTGTCATTCCCCTATTTTTACATTCTATCAAGATTATAAGCCAATTATAATTTCATACTGTTTTTTTACAGTTATCACCAAGCTCTGCCAGCAAGTACATGTACATGTACACCGCATGATGAGTTGTTTGACTGGTTTATCAGCTGGGTGTGAGAATGAGGGGGTTCAATCTCAATTAGACCCAGGCTATCATGATTAGCAGGGCTCTATTGCTGATGGGAAGAGATTGCCAAACCAGTCTGGCCATTAAAGGGCATTATAGGGAAAGGCAGCACATTAAGTAAACAATTCAGTTTTCATTTCTGGGGGACGCTCTTTTTATAGCGGCTGGATCCGGATGCTGTCTTGACCAGACAGCTGATTGGAGTAATGTAGGCCTAATGCATGTACCTACATAGATTGGAATGAGTTGTGAATTCAGCAGTATTTTGTGAAACTCCAAAAGCAGTTGTTCCACCCATGCTCAACAGCAGTAGAGGCCGTTGTTTCCCATGTTAGGCAACCTGGAATTAAGTGCATACTTTATCCGTGCCCATCAATCATGATGCCTGCCCGATCATTCAAATCCTTTCTCTCTGGTCATGATTCTTTTTAATTTACCGGCCTAACTTGGTTAATGATTGTGTCGGTTATAGCTTTCTGTTAGCTCTGCTGTTGTGGTTTCGATCAAGAGATCCAGTGTCGTTTGCTTCCCCCCCCAGCCCTGTACCCTTGAGAAGAAATAATAAATTCAGGCAGCATTTTGTAAGCATTATTGTCATGGATTCAATGGGCAATTGCTCTGCTGCACTGTCGGCCATCAATCGCTGTCATGTTCAAGAAGATAGACACCATTATTCCATGTAATACACGACACTTGAAGTCCACATGCTGTGGGTAAATCATTGAAAAAAGAAAGTCCAAGCATATGGTGGATTATGCCTCGTGATGTAGCTCTGAGGTAGTCGAGTGTGCTGCGGTAGAATTTACCACCTAAAGAGTCCTTGACTGTCGCATGTGGGAGAATTAATTGTGATTAGTTCAGAAGGGAAGTGGCAACAACACATCGGGACCGGAATATCACGGGCACTCGAATGTTATTTCTGTTGGACCGATCGGGGGGGGGGGGAGGAGAAGAATTTGTTTTGAAATTTGGGACATGTGACTTGTAGGTTCCTCAACACTGAATTTGTTGTCTGTGCCTTTCTGTTTTATCCGTTTTGATAGGAAATGGCAACATTGATGGTAACCGGTTGGGTCAGATTCAGAATACATGTACGATATACATGTATACCGTATAATATAAACTCTAACCAGGCCAAGCCTAACTTACATGTACATGTAGATTCCAAGTGATTTACACTACACAGTGAGGATGACCCAGACTACTTTCGTGGGTGTATCAAACTTGAATTACATGTTCATATGAAAGATTGAACAATGGAGTTTATTTGTTTTCTTTCAAGGCCTGATGCCCACCAAACTGTATTTTAAAAGTGAATTCTTCTGTCACCTGTTGACCTGTTCTCTTGTTTACTGCTTTAAGTTGAGGTATTGGCATTCAGTATACAGGGTTCCAGCTGGAAAACTTCAATTACTAGCC